AAAAATCTGAAAAAAAGTATGTTATATAGAAAAATGAACTGAACAACTTTTGCCTTGGAATCATATCGAAATTCGCTGCCAATTTTAAAATAAAAATAAAATAATAAAAAAACCCTTTTTTTTTTTACTTTTTTCGTGCTTTTAATTGCTAAAAATGGAGTTGTCCGGGCCCGGACGTCCGGGACCCCCCTGACTGTCCGGCCAGGACGTCCTGCCATCGGACAACTGGTAGCCTAGTTTTTTCCCCTTTTTTTCTTCCTTTTCTTTTCCTTTTTTTTTTCCCTTTTTTTTTTCCCTTTTTTTTTTCCCTTTTTTTTTTCCCTTTTTTTTTTCCTGTCCCGGTTTGTCTTGGAGGACTGTCATCTGCTCATGCAGGCCAGTTTGCTGTTCCTTTTTTGTGATTTGGTCACATTGAACTCGTCGAAGGAAAATGCCTCTTTTGGAAAATGCCTCTTTTGGCTGGGTGTACAGAGGCATTTCTTAAACCACAGCTCGCAGACTGGTACTTCTCCTGGGGTGTGGTCCCACTAGCAAAGAGGATCGGATCGAATGCCTGAATCTGGAGGACTTTATGGAGATGTGCAGGAAATCGAGATTGAACTGCTTTGCATCTCTGCTCAAAACACATCCAGATTCAGGAGCTCTATCCTATCCTTTTTGCTAGTGGGACCTCGGCCCTGCAGCCACAGCCGACCCATATCAAACATCCGTCTTTTTTTTTTTTTTTTTTTTTTTTTTTTTGATTGAAAAGCTGCCTTCTCCTCATCGGGGGACAGCCATATGTTTTTCTCTCACCTCACACATTTTTTTTTAACCGGCGTTCTGCCATGTCATGGAACAACTCTTTCTTTCACTACCTAACTACCACTGCTCCTAAGGCTATACAGGGAACCCCTGCAAGCAATAGCTTTCTACCATAATTTTTGGGAGCTGCAGCCAGCCATAACTGCGGATGCCTCGCCCAGCCGGAATGGCCACGGAATAAATGTAAGGGGCGCTGGACCCGGTTTCCGGTAAAAATGGAATGGTATTGTTTAAAAATTAATAATAATAATAATAATAATAATAATAATAATAATAATAATAATAACTGCGGATTCAAAATCCTCACAACCTGGCCCAGGTGCAGCTGGGCCCGATTTGAGCATACAAACCCGGACCTGCCCAAGCCCGGACATCGAAGAAAAATTGCAGCCGGACCTGCCCAGAACTAGACATATTTTTTGCTACATGCCCTCACCTCGACCCTTGAGCATAATCCCACCCACACCCGTCCATAGCTGGCATTTATTTCACCACCCGTACCAGCCCATACCCGCCCGTACCCGCCTGTACCCGCCCGTACCTGCCTTTGCTTCTCCAAATTTTCAGCAGCCTACCCACGGATACCCATCTGATCATTCCCTCCTATGCAATTGGTGACCCCGACAATATAGAACCCTTGAGCACTATGTTCTTTACTGAAGTTTTCTTCTCTAAACAAAAACAAAAACGAAAACAAAAACAAAAACAAAAACAAAAACGAAAACAAAAACGAAAACAAAAACGAAAACAAAAACAAAAACAAAAACAAAACCCCTAGATCAACCTTTTTGGGACTTGAGAACAAGTAGGTACATATAAGGCAAGTCTCCAGGGAACTGCACATGCCACATATGAGTTGGTGGGGGGGGGGAAGGAACTTAAAAAAAGTCATGAGACAATTAAATATAAAATTAAAAATTCTGAATTCAAAGCATATTCAGGTCAGAATCATGAACGTAGGGGATGGTACAGCTACAGGCATATATGCATAGGTATAGAGTCTATGGACCCCTACATGCATATATGCATATCCTTTTGGCGGGTGACCCGCACCAAGTCTAGACCCGCTCACACCTGCCCTTTTCTTTTGTTTCTTATGGAAGGCCACCCTCGACTGGCCCGCTCTCGTTCACCATAACTCCCCCCCCAATCCGTCCCAGGGTCGTCCTCCCATTGCCTAGCCACACCTGGCCAGGTGGGACATAGGCGAGCCACACCTGCCTGCAGCTGTCGGGTCCGGCTGGGGGCAGCTGCACGCAGCTATGGCCAGCCGTTTGCAGGCTTTCCTTGTTCAGTACGTTTCCCAGCCATTTTTTCAAAGTTGCACCTTGTGTGTCTGCCACAACAGTTTGGGGCTTGCCCGCCGGAGCAAAATGGCTGGTGGCGCCAGCCAGAGGGAGGTCCACGCCAGTCTGTGTTGTTTTGGCACGCGGTGGGGCTTCCAGCGCTGGAGAAAAACGCCTCGGAAGTACTGGTGGTTTAAGCGTGTGCGCTTGCAGGGGCAATGTCAGTGGGGGTGGTGACGGGGGCAGTGGGGCCTGTGGTGAATTCTTTGGGTTCCCCCCGTCACAACACTCAGGTTTCTTCTGTGGTTCCCTCAGTTTCTGACCACGCGGAACATCAGGGGCACTTCGCACCCCCCTCGGCCCCCCAACCCTTTTTGGCAATCCCGACCCCAGCTACTTCCGGCTGCAGGTCGAAGTACCCCATCCCCAGATTTTGTACAGGGATTCCTGCATGATGAGCCTGAATCTGGGGAGCATTGTGACCCGCTTCATCGTTTATTTAGCATGACATTGCACCAAGGGGGTGCACGTTGCAGCTGCATGCAAGCCGTGACTTTGAAAACATACCTGGGAACATACGGGTCCACAGTGCCCCACCACTACCTTTCTCATATATGGGCCGCGGCCCACGGGCATCTGAATTCAAGGGCGGATTGGCAACAATTGATTCGGAGATTGGCGACAATTGATTCGGAGTAGGCTACTCTAACGACTAAGCGTCACAACCTAAAAGGTAGTGGCAGAATTCCATTACAAGGCTCAATCAACAGTTGGTGTTATCTGCTGAAATACAGGATGCTTTGAAAAAACAAGGATTTGCTAGAAAAAAAAGAGATGATCTTCAGGATTAGAGGTATCAGGGTATAGAGGGGAAACCTGGGGATATGTTCGTGACCGTTGATTCAGGTTGTGGTTGGGATATGTTTGGCTGAAAGTGCCTTGCTTAGCCCATTTGTGTGCAGCAAATGATGTAAGGGCCTATGGGCCCGGTTCTCGGCTCACGAAAAAAAAAAAAAAGAAAAAAAAAAGAGTTGTTGACCTTTTTCTTCCCTTCAACCTGAAACTGTATCTTGGCCCATAGTGCAATTATAACTCACTTTTGTGACTCCCACGTAGTTCCCCCCATTTTTTTTTCTTTTGCTTTAAATTTCTGGAAGGGGAGTTTTGTTTCCAACGAGCAGAGTGCCCAAGGTAATGCGT